GTGCATTAACCTATCTAAAGCTTTTTTGTTTTTGTTTTTTTTTTATTATAGATACAAAAATGATTCGATACCGGTGATTTTTTTTAATTCCGTAGGTAAGGATGACAAATGAGTTTTTTGTTCTTATCGCTTTTGACTTATCTATTCTTATAATATAATATCCCCTGATTATGGTCGTTCGATAGCTGATAACTTGCCTTGACAACTTTGAATGGGGTGATTAATAATAATAATTACTGATAATTACTGATAATTATTTATACAGGGTGTAGCAATCGAAGTGCAGCATGTTTGATATTTTTTTTAAATAAAATGATGAAAACTTTCGTTATTTCACCCAGTTTATTTACCATTTTGTTATTTCAATTAGTATATCAAGGATGATCTAAAAGTATTCTTTGAGGATAATCAATAAATTATTAGATTGTCGCCGTCCACATATCCAATTTTATTGCAATCATCCTAATTTGAAAGATGCAGTGCAAATTTAGGCCAGATGAAAATTAAATTGCAATTTAAATGGTTTTCAAGGTTACAAATAATCAAATTTGAAAACATATAACTAATTGGTTTTGAATCGACATACATATATGTTCTAAGACATAAGTAAACGATTCTGGTGGTTTTTAACATTGAATTCATAGTAGCAACACTGCATGTTTCAAATAGTTTTCTGAAAGCTAAATGATGACTCTTTTCCTAACTTCTGAATAGCAAAAGTTTATGATAGTTTATATCCTACTTGAATTTATCGTGCATGCATCAATATCCGGACCCCGTACTTCAATATGTAACTACTTATCAGCTATGACGTGACGTAATATCTTCTTTATTTTTTTCGATTTACTTCAACCTGGAACGATTAGCCAAACAGTAAACCACCGCTGTTACAGCGACTGTTTTACTTATCTAGCTAAAATAAACGATACGTCAAGCTCTGCCTAATTTTGGAAGGGGATTCCTGTAAAACTTAGTGGCTATTTTAGGACGAGTCATTTTGGGGTGTATATGGTGATAACGTGATAAGATACGATACGCGTATAGTGATTACTTTCTTTCATTTTTCGTCGAAGAGTTAGCATTTATTTTAGCTTGAAAACTAAATCTTTTAATCAGTTCAGTCTATACTTTATGGTCGCGATAAATGAAAAATATTTCCCACCAAACCTTGGTGTCTATTGAGGATCATTTTGACTTAGGACTACGTCTGTGATTTCTATATGGAGATACACTTTGTGAAAACCAAACATGGAACATGTAACGAAATTATGAAAGATTTTGAACGTTAATTTTCATGTAAATATAAATGAACCAATTTCAATAATTTTATCACCAATCGATCGGAAATATTTCTACGCATCCGACTGTCAATTTTTATCAACAAAGTATTGAAAAAGGGGTAAATGTGAAGCATTGTCCAAAAGCGTCGAAATAACTAACAAATCCACCAATTACGTACATGCACATTAGAGTGATGCAAAATTTGAAATTTTCGCTCCACAATAGTTAAACGATTCCAAATCGGATCCTGACTAACCTCTCAAAATTTTAACCCATTTGGTGAGAAACTGAGATGGCACAAACCATTTGAAGTTTGTATGGGAATTACTATAGTAAAACCAAGATTTTTGTTCATGTCTATCTAATAATTCACCATATCGGTCTGCTTTAAAAGTTTTTAATTAAGCTTGTAGGAAATTTTCCCAGCTACAACTTTGCTGAAGACCACTTTTTAATTAAATGCAAGGATCGAAAGTTATCAATGGTTCAATGCGCTGATGTCTTATGATCATGCTCAATCAACTGCTCAGCAGGCAACATTGGTGTAGGTTAGTGAAGCCATGGTCATCAAAAGAGGAAATCGATGAGGAGAATTGACTTTGACCCCTCTGCTTCCAAGCCCCTTAATTCAGTAGTCGTCATAGCATTGAAAACTTTGGATCAATAATAGAAAATGGCCCATCAGTATTTGTAAACAAACCGTTCCAAAGCTATTCCTTACAACTCGAAGGCCGCTCACTCAAACCAACACCATCATCGTGTAGGTAGAAGTTTATCCTATCCGATGATGGTGTTGGTTTGCGTGGGTGGCTTTCACTTTGTGAGTAAAGGGCTTTGAAACGGTTTATTTACAAATGCTGATGGGCCCTTTTCTATTGTTGATCCAGAACTAGCATTGCACCGTTTTTGGTTCTTGGGTTACACAAGTTTGCTGGTTGTAATTCTGCTGTTCAATATTTTCGAAGGCCCATCAAATAAACATGAAATTTCACTATTTTCTAGGGATGCCTAAAAGTCCAACTAATCGATTAACGATTAATCGTTAAGATTTTTCCAGCTATTCGATTAAATATTTATCGAATGTTTAATTATTCTATTCGTGCGGGTAGGATGTAAAAGAATAAGCATAGGCGAAATAACGGAATGGCTCGAAATAGATCGATGCGAGGTCAGGTTCAAACACTACATATCAGGCATAACATTTGATAACGGCACAAAAGCATTTATAAACAAACTTTCTAAGGCCCTTTACACGCGAACCAAAGTACGCCCACGCAAACCAATATTACTTTCAAAAAGGTTATAGTTGCCCCTATTTGATGATGTTGTGGGTTTGCGTGAGTTTTCTTCAGTTCGCGTTTAAGGGGCCTTAAAAAGTTTGTTTACAAAAGCTTTTGTGCCGTTATCAAATGTTATGCCTGATATTATCTGCACCGCATGCTACTTCTACATAAACCGGGACACTAGCGGTAAACATTTGGTGCTTCACCGCAGAGTGTGAATCGTATGGCGACCGTATGTTTTGATCACTACTCGAGTACTCGACAGTAGAAACAATCGCGGTGATTACATCTACACTGAAAACGAAACTTCCTCAGAGAGTGAGTCACATTTACTCATTCGTATGGAGAAATTTCTAAAAGCGTACACGGAGAAAAAATACTACCCAAAATTTGATACTTGAGAGTACGTAATTTTTTTTGCTAGTATTAAATGGAAACTAGTATATGCGATTTACTGGTAAATAAATTTAAAATTGGGATGTGATCCTATATTCGGAAAGTATACAGTGTAATAGCAGGAGCATCGGTTGTGTCAATGATAGCTCGATTTTGTTTACCTTTGCTACTTTCGACGTAATGAAAATTTGCTCTTGATTTACATATTTTAAGGTGTTTTAACCAAATTTATGTTTTGAACCAATGTCATCCACCATAAGTAAAATGTTGGTCTATTTTGTATTAAATTTTAATCAAGTCAAGGGGAGAGGTGACTGTCAAATACGAACAATCGTCGCCTACCTCGCATAACTAGTTCCAAATGACAACAAGCCATAAACAACGATGGTTTGTTGATGTTTGGAACCAAATTCACATAACATCAACATCAACAAACCATATTATGCAAAATCAATTACCGTAAACAGGTGAGGCCCAGACAATTGGTCGTCTCTTTCGTTCTCTGCCTGATTAAATTGATGATGGAGTTTGACGTCACACTCTTTCAACCGTTTTTTTAAACAGTGGGAGAACGAAAGAGATGACAAACTCACTGCCCTAATAAACAAATACCATATACGAACTGTATCCCGGATGGGTAAACTATTCCACAAATGGTTTGGATGATACCCCGAACACGTCGTTAAGCTCTCTTTTATGGTTATTTTTATTAGGGTGGGCCTTACACATTTACTTCCCATTGATGGATGGGACGTCCGATTTACAGCACATCCCTCCCCTGAGTAAAATAGGAAACGAAAAATTTTGATTTTTCGGTCCTATATCACCCCACTAACGGTATATCACAAAAACTATAATAATAAGTAAAACGTGCGAAAACTCACACCCCACGGAATGAACGCAAGTGAGCCCCGCCAGCTAATTGCAGTTTGTGATGATTTGTATGCAATGTAAACACTCAACGTTCGGTTAGTACCGGTCACTAGGACAATTAGGTGAAATAACAAAAAATAATCGTCGCGTTCAAGTTCAAGCTCATGTAGGGTAATGTTCCAATTGTTGCACAGCTAAGCACAAGTTTTAAAATGTTTTTCATGTTCAAATTTATCATGCGAGTCATGGGTCATTTCCACGATTTATCAGTAAAGGATGATGCATAAATGACTTAGCATTTTAGGGTGACCAGAAAAATACGCTACAAGGGGGGAGGGGGTTATAAGTTGTTGCTTTATCGAACGTAAACAAACGATTGATGTTTGTTTACATTTCATGGAGCACCAACTATGGTTCCGCTCTCCCCTGTAGCGTATTTTTCTACATGGCTGGTCTCCCTAAAATACTACGTCATTTATGCATCTTCCCTAATTTATATTCGTATAAACATACCTTTTAATAAGTCTTCCAATCCCTGTAAATATATAAAACTTACAAAATGATAATATTAAAACTTAAGAATTACTTTGTGAACTTGATCGGCTAACGAAATGTACGACAATTGTGTGATGAACAATAGGGCTTTTGATCTAATTTCCGTCCTGATTAGCACAACCCGCGTTTCACCTCTCTTTTTTGAACGAGTTTAAACAAAAAATGGATTATTTCTGTCAAAGATGACTTCAAAATTTGTTCACCTTTCCATACGTACCGTTGGATTTGATAAAAAGTCACAAATTGTTGAGATATTGTTTAAAATCCAATACTGCTTATTGATTCTAAATTCGTCCTACGAGTTTCAATTTCGCCCAAACGCATTGAAACGCTATTACGGTGATTACGACGAAGTTGCGCTCTACCCTAATTGGCAAATTACCTTACTCTGGTGTAATAGGATAAGCTCACGCATCATCAGCTTTATTGATAGGGGGAGACCTTACCTCCGCTACTCTCTCAATCTCTCGCGAAAAACGCTTCCATCAACCCGCGGGTAAATCACCGTTCGACACACTCGCTGCTGTTAGTCGAACCCGACACGAAAGAAAGTCCTTCACGGGCTGTGTCATACAACCAAGCGATATATGTCGGCCGTCGCTTTTGGCTGCATCGTCACTCGCAATCGAAGCGCGTATCAAGTCGGACGTACAGTACAGAGCAAAACGTTTGGAAAAAAAATGGTCGTACCAATTCGTGAACCGCAAGACCTTTTCGGGAACAGGAAACGTATCCGGATCGATACCAATAAGAACAATCTGCACATCATCGGGAACCAGAACAGGATACTGGTCAAATCGAACGAAGGCACGTTGAACGTGGTTGGCAATCTGAACAATGTGAAAGTTATGCGGAACAGCGGTAAAATCAACTACATCGGCAACGAAGGCTCGATCTACCTGAGCGATCAGAGTAAATCGATGAAGGTGAACTACACCGGAAACAACGCCAAGATCCGGGTTTGTGACCATGAGCAACTGTCGGATAGATTCCGATAAGGCGGCGACGGCTGCAATAACTCTGTGTTCAGTGAGGCAGCAATTTAAGAAGAGACTGATCCTTATCTAAGTCGTATGATTGTGATTATGGAAAATAGAAAAAAACAAGTGCAACTAACAACACCAGCGAATAGCATCAATTACATGACTTAGCTTAAAATTCTAGTGAAATTATTTATGAATTAGTAACGTAGAGAGGAAACAACCGGTGCACGACTCTGTGAATCCTGTGTCCGTATGAATCATAATCGCATATGGTTTGGAAAAATTTACCGAGCCGTTCTTCACCCTAATATCAACTTGCCGTCCAGACAATGTCTGAACGCGATAACCTTGAGATCGTCTGGACCGACAACAATCCGTTGAACCTAATGTGCACACCCACAAAAAAATACCGCCTTGTTTCGACGGTGTGACAAAACAAGACTGATTAGTTCTAAGTACAACTTGAAATATAGAAGGCTATCAATTTGTCAAAGCAATACGTTCATGCTTTTTTGTTTTACTTTTTTTTCCGGTAGCGATATAATCAAATTGTTGTTCGTAGGTTTTGGCAACAGCTTGGTGTTAATGGACACTTGGAATTTTTGTATTGTATATGAGCTTGCTGTGTTCTTTTGTTCGAATCAAAATCAAAACTTCACCATACAAATTGAACCAATAGTAATACTCTTTTCGTTGGCACATTCAAGATCATTAATCATTTTTGGAATATCTTCTTTCAACCAGGGTTACTTCCATTCATTTCGCATAAAAAAAACTGTTTTATGGGATTGTGGAATCATTTGATATGATGACAATATTTTGTATTTGTATGTAACAAGAATAGGTCGTAAAGTTTGTGTTTGACACATAAAACCAGTAAATTTCGCTTTATGAGAATCGCAACATGCATTGTTATCGTTATCGTGATCAGGAAATCGCTAATAACCAAATATCATAAACGAACAATAACCCAAAGAGTCGAACTTTTCCACAAATGGTTTGGATGATATCCCAAACACGTCGTTAATCAAACTAACCATAACAAATTTATTTGGGTATTTGAAAGCAAAATTGGCAGGTGTTATACAACGCATTCCTTGCAATCTATTATTTTAACTAACAAATACAAAATATCATTATAGTATCTTATGATATGAAACATTTTGCAATGCCAAATGAATGGAAGTAACCCTGCTTTCAACCCACCGCAATACAGTATAGTCGCTATATTCATAGTCTGGCGGATAGAATTTCGATTTATCAAAAAGCAGACCCAATTCAATATATGTATGACCAACAATTAAAAAGGTACTATCAAATTTTATAAAAAAAACGTTGATTATTCTTTCCTCGCTAATCGAATGCAAATTACCAACATCATCGGATAGGGGAAACTTTCCCCAACCCAAAGATGGTATTAATTTGCGTAGGCGAGTCTTGAGTCACGAGAAAAAGGGTTCCGAAGTTTTGTTCGTAATAACTTATGTGTTCTTTTCTGTTGTTGGTCGTGATTTGCTCGATTGGTTCCGCTATTTGGCAGCTGAATTGGTTCCCGAGATTCTATCCGCCAGACTATGAATATAGCGACTATACAATACAGTACCTTCCTGTTTTTGGCAACACGTATTGTTTGGTTTCTCTATGTTCTATTATATCCATCGAATATTAAATTCAAAGGTTATTACTAGTATTACTAGAGTACCGTTTTTTAAAGGTCAGGGATAGCTGGTAGTTGTTAATGTATTATACATTATCCAGAAAGCGTGCTGTCAAAAACGGGAAGGCACTGTCATACCATTCTGTAAGTATTCAGTACGATATAATAAAAGTGCCGCTGCGATTATTTATCAGACCTGTTTTTTTTGTTCATCAGCAATCATACACGCTCCAGCGTTGCAGAAGGACTGTCGGGGATTCACCGACCGCGCTGCGCAAGTTGATGTTCGGTTACCCATCGAGTGTGTTTAGATATATGTATACAAGAGCATGGAAAACGTTAGTCATTATCCGCTTCCTTTTGGAGGTGTGTTTCGATTGTTTCTCATTTATTTGTCATAGAGTTATGGGACCTAATTTCGACCCACTGCGTTTTTCCTAGAGATCTCACATACCTTACTGTTACACTTTTCTGAAATTTCTAGTTCCATAACCTTGAACAGTTTTTTAAGACCAGGTTCGAAGTCTCATAATCTTGAGATTTTTTTTAATCCTGGATCTCGAATTTCTACGTACGGATCTTGAAAATCGTTTGAATTTACCGGGCTGTTAAAACAATAAATAAATAAATAAAATCCTGGTGAATGAGGGCGTCTTAGTGGAATACCTGTATAAAGAGAGAGAGAGAAGGATTAGTAATTTCCATTTAATTGTATGTTTTTCCTATGAATCGATTAGTTTGGGACCGAAGAGAGTACCAGAGCTGAGCCAAAAAGTTGAGCACGTTATTTCGGGACCTTCTAGTCTTAGAGTTACCTCTATGGTATTACCATAGAGGTAACTCTAAGTAGTAGGTCCCGAAGAAACGTGCTCAACTTTTTGGCTCAGCTCTGGTACTATCTACGGTCCCAAGCTAATCGATTCACTCCTCGAAACCTAGGAAATTCCACTAACCCCTCATTTTATCTGTCAAACTTTCATAGCGAATCAAAACAAACATAGTGTAGTACTAGAATTTTGACTAGAATGGGATACGTTAATCGATTAGCTTGGGACCAATAGGCTAGTCAAGTAGTGAGCCAAGAAAACTTCCTGGGTAAAACATATTCACTGTATTTACTTACTTGTGTTCTTCGAAGCTTCGCACAATAACACACAATCGAATACACAAAATCCAAAACAACTGCTACTCAAAACTCTTGGTGAACAAAATTGAACACCAAGAATACCACTTCAACTTTACTGATTTGCCGGAAATCGTTAAAGTATCGTTGAAAAAGCGTTGCCAGATGAATCATAGAGGTAACTCTAAGACTAGAAGGTCCCGAAATAACGTGTTCAACTTTTTGGCTCAGCGCTGGTACTCTCTTCGGTCCCAAGCTAATCGATTCACCCCTCGAAACATAAGAAAAACCAATAACCCCTCATTTTATCTGTCAAATTTTCATAGCGAATCAAAACAAACATTGCGTAGTACTAGAATTTCGATTAGAATGGAATACGTTAATCGTTTGCTTGGGACCAATAGGCTAGTCAAGTAGTGAGCCAATTTAAAATCGTTAGTTTCGTATTGATTGTTGGCTATACTAACAGCTATGTTTGACAGTACACTCAAAATAATTTTCACGTCAATGCTACGTGAAAACATACGTAGATTTTTTCCATCATACTTTCACGTAAGAGCTACGTGATTGTCATGTACGGGTACTCATTTTATTGAGCCCAAACGTCATTGGATTATCACGTAGAAGTGACATGAATTTGTCGATGGCATTCACTGGTGAATTCCAGCATCACATTTGTTTGTAGTTGTTTACAACAGAATTTCTTATAAGATAAAATCAATTCTGTATAGAAATCTGATAATATTCCTTTATTTATTGATGCACATATTCAAAAAAAACACAAAATCAGAAAAAAAATTAATGATATCCTATATGCATCCCAAACAATCCTGGAGATACGAACAATGGGATAGGATGAATTTTCTTTTCACTGCCCGATCGTTTGCCGTCTTTCTATTGAACACGATAAAACAGCCAATGTATGTTTGATAATCATTAGAAATAATCAACATTTGTACTTACATCTTGCGATTATTTTATAAAAATAACGGACATAAGCACATCACGATGTCGCCGTACTTTGCACCACTCTGAATGTAGAACTCTTTTTTTTCAGATGTGGAAATCACATAAGGTCTACGTGAAACGCACATATAAACAGTGTATGTGGAAATCACGTAAATTGCATTGATTAAGTATGTGTGCTTAATCGGAATTCCTTTTGACATTCAAGAGGTATCACATACATTCTACGTGAGTCACGTAAAACTGAGGGAAGTGGAAAAAGAGAGAACTTACGTGATTTTTCACGTAGTTTCAACGTGTCGATTATTTTGAGTGTAGGCAGCATGTCCGGGGCCCAAATCGTTTGTTTTGCTGTACTGGGCCCGCTGTCACCGTATACAATGTTGCCTACGAGCCTGCCACCGGGCTAAAAGCCACAGAAGATTGAATTCAACACTAACAGGGTTGATGGCAGCAGTGCACGAAAATGATGATCGAAGAATATTTCAAAAATAAGAAGTATACAAATTATTGACCCTTTGTAGAACCTTAAATTTTAATACACTAAAACATGGTTCAACCATCGAGGTAACTCTATGACCAGAAGGTCCCGAAGAAACGTGCTCAAGTTTTTGGATCATCTCTGGTACTCTCTTCGGTACCAAGCTAATCGATTCACCCTTCGAAACATAGGAAAATCCACTAACCCCTCATTTTATCTATCAAACTTTCATAGCGAATCAAAACAAACATTGTGTAATACTAGAATTTCGACTAGAATGGGGTACGTTAATCGTTTGCTTGGGACCAATAGGCTAGTCAAGTAGTGAGCCAATTTAAAATCGTTATTTTCGTATTGATTGTTGGTTCAACTACGCGTTAGAGTGTTCTTAATGAATCTTTGGAAGTAGCATTGAAAGGACATTCCGACACAAGATGGTTGTCAAAACGACAAACAGTTTCAGCTCTAAAAAGATCAATTTGTTCCATCTTTTCCGTTGTTACCGATTGAACAGATCTCATAATTAAGATATAACAGTGCCACTGTGTAAGTGGCTCATGTTTTATTGAAACAAATTGATTTTAAATTTCATTGCCTTCTCGAACTATGGTAGAGACAATTAATGTTGATGAATTAAACGAACCATTTCAATCCCAAAGCATCCGTGACAAGTAAACTTATCGGAGGCTTGCAAACATCCTTTGAAGAAATGAAAAGAATGGAGCTGGTTGTGCTATCCAGTACACAATGGAAAAATCCATTGAGTTCGACAGTACCACATTTGTTCGAACTCACCTATCGACTGAAGACAGCTTTCAACGGAATGTAAGCACCGTATTTGACTAAATACTACAACACTTGGAACAGCATGGAAGAACAATGGTGGATCTAACTTCGGAATTTTTAAATTTTTAGCTGTAAGGGAAATTACGTATTCTCGGAAATTTAAGCGGCGTCCACGCTTCTATTTTTCTCTGCGTCACACACACATATGGCGTGATTCTTTGTTTACATTTCAGCTGCTTGTCAATGCTCTAAAGCATTGACGCAAATATTGATGAACATAATGATGCAAAATTAAAAAAAAGTTTGATTTCATATTTCAATTTTCCCTCATTTTCCCCTTCTGTTTGACTACAGCAGCAGCTGCCCTAGGCCCTAGGCATCTTTTGTCAAGGTGGCTGTGATTTGACTCGGAATTTTCTTTCGGTTACAACAACGTAAGCGAGGAGCGACCTTGTAATGATTTATTTTTCCTTGATTTGTTTTC